TATATATATATATATATATATATATATATATATATATATATATAGTTTTACTAAATATAATATCTACCCCTTAATTATCTTTATTTTATACAATATATTTTATTCGCTGATGTTGAAATCTTATACGTGTGATTAAGAAAGGAGAAAAATAATAAGAATGGAGAATAAAAGGTGTTGTGTGTATTGAAATTAAGTTATAAGTTGAAGTTATTAAAGTTTTTAAAATAAAATTATAAATAACAAAAAGAGATTATCAATAAAAAAATCTTTCTATTTTTTTAGGATTTAATGATTGCTTGAATTAGAATGAGCCTTAGAGTTTCAAATAAAAATAAATTAGCCGATCCACAAAGATGTTATTCACGGGATGGGTTTGGACCCAAAAATTAGCCTGCAAAGATCGAACAAAAAGTCAAAATCCATGACGTGTTGTAACGTAGTCAAAACAAAGCTGCTTGCGCTTAGGTTCAATCAACATGTTACGACCCTCCAAGTGGTAGAACACTGCACACTCTGACTTGGCCAAATCTAAGCTATGGTACTTCAAAATCTAGGAACACAAGAGGCCCCACCTCGTTGGATCTTGTACTCGTTGACCTGCTCATAAGCTTGTCCTTGTCGTGCCGGCCCAAGCCTGCTCAGGCCCGGTTTAAAAGGACAAACCTCTCACTGTTCTCCGTGCAAACGGTAAGCGAGACAAAAGCCTCGTGGAAACGTACGACGGCGATAACTGACATCCACGGGAACCCCAATGGGCTCATCGATGTCTTGCTGCGGAGCTGAGAAGGTCGAGCAAGGGTGCGTAAGATGTGTACTTCATGTAGCTGTTGTTCTAGTTTAGGATGATCACTGTGGTGTTTGAGGTGGCCTCTCTGATCTGGAATTAGGGTTGTGAGTGGGGGATTGAATAGTTCGTGGAGGATCTTTACCTACAAGGAGCTCCACGCCGCTACTAATGGCTTCAGCGACGATCGCTTGCTCGGCGAAGGGGGATTCGGAAGCGTTTACTGGGGAAAGACCACCGATGGTCTTCAGGTGATGTCTTCTTAGCTCAGCAGTGTGCGAACGGATGACTTAGTATTGCCTTCTTGTTGATTGTGCAGATAGCTGTGAAGAAGTTGAAGTCGATGAACTCGAAAGCCGAAATGGAATTTGCAGTGGAGGTTGAGGTGTTGGCGAGGGTTCGGCACAAGAACCTTCTTGGCCTGCGAGGTTACTGTGCTGCAACGGACCAGCGGCTCATTGTCTATGACTACATGCCCAACCTCAGCCTACTGTCCCATCTCCATGGCCAGTTTGCACATGAGGTGCGGTTGGACTGGAGGAGGAGGATGAACGTCATACTTGGATCTGCAGAAGCCTTGGTGTAAGTCATGTTGCTTTCGTGCATTTGCAGAAGGATTGATTGGCTAAGCAAGTGTTACCTTGGATTCAGGTACTTGCACCACGAGGTAACGCCCCACATCATTCACAGGGACATCAAGGCCAGCAACGTGCTACTGGACGCCAACTTCGAGCCGCTTGTGGCGGACTTCGGCTTCGCCAAGCTCGTCCCCGAGGGGGTGAGCCACATGACCACCCGGGTGAAGGGCACCCTGGGGTACCTCGCGCCGGAGTACGCCATGTGGGGGAGAGTTTCCGACAGCTGCGACGTCTACAGCTTCGGCATCCTCCTCCTCGAGCTCGTCTCCGGCCGCAAGCCCATCGAGAAGCTCCCAGGCGGCATGAAGCGCACCATCATCGAGTGGGCGGAGCCGCTCATTTCCAAGGGTCGGTTCAGGGAGCTGGTCGACCCCAGGCTTCGTGGCAACTTCGACGGGGCCGAGCTCAGGAGGGTCGTGGAGGCCGCCGTTCTCTGCATCCAGGGGGAGGCCGAGCAGCGGCCGGACATGAAGGAGGTGGTGGGTATTCTCGGCGGGAGGGAGGTCAGGGAACCGAAGACGGAGGTGGTGAGGTTGAAGAGCATCAGATACGGGGAGCACCTGATGACAATGGACCAAAACAGTGATGAAGGATTTGAAGACTCTGTTGACGCTGGTGTTGGTGGAGGAAGAAGGGGAGGGAGGATTGAAGATGAGACCAACTCTTACGGGGTGTTTGGAGCCATGGAGATGCAGGAGATGCATGACCCCTACGTGAAGCCGTGAGACAGGAGAAAGTTTGTGCACGGATGATGGATGTTAAGAAGAACAATAGGTTACTTAGCCAGAAGATATAAGCAAAATCACATAATGTGATGCAGCAAATGGTTCGTTTTGTTTATCTTATTAGAAGTTCTCTCATTTTTCAGATACAAATGTAATTGACACATCTAATCTTGTGCTACTGTATTCTCCGAATTCTTATATGGGAACAGAATAGAATGAATCATTTCATAGACATGCTTTATAGTCCATTGGCCAATTCTTCCCTGTCACCTGATCATAGTGCCCTTGAAATGAAGATTTGACATTGGCCAACCATGAGGATTCCTTTTGTTCCCCACAATTCCCTCACTTTGCCTCACCTTTTGGCAAAGGTTTTTATCCCATCCTATGTTGTATGCACATAAGAACATAAATGAAGTTAATGTTGCTTTTCATTATTTCCTTGACCACATGCTTTGGCTTCAACAGCAAGATAAGTCAATTTCCAGACCTTTGCTTCCACCCCAAACCTCCTCCTACCAACCCCATTATATCCAGTGTAGGATGAAGCAGGGATGAGAAGGCCATCATCTCCCTATCCATCTCCCAGTGGAACAATTCACATCCTATTCCCCTACACTCTACTCTGTGACGCCATTCTGTTGTGCTTCTCAAGCAAGGCTGCATGAGTGACACCCATATGGTGGTCTCCACAATCCGATCCTACCATCACTCATGCAGTCTCCTCTGCTCTACAAATTTCAAGCAACGGAGCAACATCTTTGTCCCTCATCTGAGTTGCAGAAAGAGATTGTGTTTCTCCTAATGGATTCGGTTGATGAGAGTGCTCCATCTGCTAAGATACTGGTCGGAGTTTCACTTGATGCTCGAGCCAGCTTCCAGCTTCTCTCGTGGGCAGTCACAGTCGCTGCTCATCCAAATGACACCGTCGTCGCCTTGCATGTTCTCGGTTCGTTCTTGATCGACATGTTTACCTGCCATCAGCTGTGACAGTCAGTAGTGGTTTGTAATCCCTCTGTTATCTGTTTGATGAGCATAGCAGCCGACAAAGAAGGGAACAGGGTCAGCTCTGAGAGGAGTAGATTGCGGCAGGCCAAGGCGTCCGTGATCTCTGCTCTTGGAGAGTTTGCTGAAACCTGCCAAACGAAGCAGGTAGATCGGAGCAAAGTATCTCTGCTTTTGCATTGCCTGCTTCGGTGAGACGGTCTCATTCCATGCTTCTTCTCAGGTGACGTTGGAAGCGAAGGTCAGGTGTAGTTCCAGTGTGGGGAAAGGACTCACCGAGGAAGCGGCACAGGTCGAGGCCAACTTCCTTGTTCTCGGTAGATCGAGGAATTCGACACCCAAAAGGTGACTGAATTCTTCTCTTTCTGTTCCTCTTGATAATGATTCTAATCCTTTTTTCTGTGGAACAGAAACTCATTTGAGATCATGAGATACTGCTTCAAGAATGCTCCCGGAGGCTGCTCCATTGTCGGTATCGACATGCAATCTCTGCCTAGAAAAGATGGTGCTGCAGACTCCTCGACATATGAAGGTAGGAGAACTCTAATTGTCTGAATGAGAAGTCCAGATCCTTTTCTCCTTGCGAGGAATTCACAAGCTTCAATTCATGCTACAGATAACAGTTCTTCGAGCTCCAGATGGACCAGCAATCACACGGTCAGAGCTCTCTCCCCGTTCCACAAGCTCTTCTACTCGATCTCGAAGCGAGAAAAGAGGCATTCTCCCAGGGAAAGCATTTGCGAGAAGGACTCACCGAGAGGAGTTCTTGAAGGGCCGGACGCAGGAAGCCCTGTGGTGGCAGAGGACTGCTTGAGTCCACCCAGCAGCGTCACCGGCAGGCGCAGCGGCGCCAACATGTGGAGGCGATCGTCCGTCATGAAGCTGCTCTTTTCTTTGCCTCGCTCGTCAGGGGAGTCGATGAGCAAGGAGAGCGATGCATGCTCATCCTATACCGACGACCTGAAGCCTTCTTGGAGGTGCTTCACCTACGAGGAGATCTCGCGGTCTACAAGTAACTTCCATCCAGGTAAATCAAACGAAGGTTCACAGTTAGCTTGATTTGGAACATTCAACATGTTCTCTGTGCTTGACCTCGGAAAGCAGACAATTTGGTGGGGAGAGGTGGGTTCGCGGAGGTTTTCCGAGGAAGCCTGTACAATGGCCGGAGCGTAGCAGTGAAAAGATTGGCAAAAGGAAATGGAGATCGGCAGAAGGAGAAGGAGTTCCTGATCGAGCTTGGCATACTCGGCCACGTTTGCCATCCCAACACAGCCAACTTAATCGGCTGCTGCATCGAGAACGGGCTTCATCTCGTCTTCGACTTGTCCTGCAACGGAAGCCTGGCATCAGCTCTGCACAGTGAGCCCTCTGCCTCAGCCACTTCTCCTCCTCCCTTTCTCCTCTGTTCTCGGGTTGCAGCCATGGATGACATGGATACCACACCTTGCTTCAGGTAAAAACGGCAAGTTTCTGGACTGGCCTGCGAGGCACAAGATCGCCATCGGAATAGCTAGAGGTCTGCATTACCTGCACAAATGCTGCAGGCACCGGATCATTCACCGGGATATCAAGGCCTCCAATGTTCTTCTCGGTCCAGACTTCGAGCCCCAGGTGGCCTAATCGTGGGTTAGCAGAATCCACCATTGACAAAAGCTTACTCCGGCTCTTGTTCTTGCAGATTTCAGATTTCGGACTCGCGAAATGGCTCCCGAAACAGTGGACTCATCACTCTGTCATCCCCATTGAAGGCACATTTGGGTACAGTACTGCATTATCAACCAACCTGATACGAAGTTAAATGGCTCACGTACTCCTCATTCTGGGCAGGTATCTGGCACCAGAGTACTTCATGCATGGGATAGTTGATGAGAAAACTGATGTGTTTGCATTCGGTGTTCTGCTGCTGGAGATTGTCACTGGCAGGAGGCCAGTAGATGCCTCAAAGCAGAACCTACTCCTATGGGTAAGTTTGTGATGTTATACTTCCATGCATGGAGAATTGCTTACCGAGAAGAACGTTGATTAGGCCAAGCCACTTATCGAGTCTGGAAGAATAGCTGAACTGGCTGACCCCAAGCTGGAAGGCAAGGTTGACATGAACCAGATGCAGAGACTGGTGCTTACTGCTTCCTACTGCGTGAGACAGTCATCGATTTGGCGCCCATCCATGAGTGAGGTTAGTGACGATGACAGCCGAGCAGTGATCTTAACTATATCAATTTATGTCTTGATAATTGAAATTTCAGGTGTTGGATCTTTTAACGAACGGGCGTGATTCAATGGAAGCACAAATCTCGAGGAATACCGAATTCCAGGCCGATAAGATGGATGATCAAAATTTAGCAACAAATTGTTATTTTGACTTTGACTACTAGCCATCTTTTTTACTTTATGGAATTTTGGGAGTTGGATTTCTTTGCATGGATTTTGTTAGGTTTAGCGATTGACTTGTAACTATTTGATGGTGATTGCCTCTTGTGCTGTAAACATGATTTTGAACAGTGGGTTGCTGTTCCTTGATGACCGTCCTATACTTGATGAACACTAGAAACAGAAATACAAGAAAGCAATCCCACATCCTATTCTTATATTATATTCCATGGCGCCAATGGAATATATTTCAAACTCTCCTCTTCCCTCCAAAATGAAGCATCAATTGCCATGCTCTGATTTGTTTTTACTCTCTCTCTCTCTCGACGTATATAATAAACACCAGATGGAGTAAATTGGAAGGAGAGCGTGATAAACACCAGTACATACATCTTGGTGTGGAAGAAGGCGGCGATCGCCATTAAAAGGAGGGCACGACGCCGAATCCGGCGTCCGCCATAAGTGCTGCGGGGGCGGCGGACGCGGAGGAGTAGATGCGGTCGACTTCCGCCTCGATGCTCGCCCGCTTGGCGAACCGGCCCTTGATCCGCGGCCGCGTCTCGGCGTTCGCCTTCCGCGACGCGTACCGGATCGTCTTCTCGAATCGCCGGTTCTTCCGCTTCTCCCGGTACCGCATCACCCTCGCCTCCCGGTCCATCTGCGCCGCTGCGTTTCCGGCGCCGCCGCTCTCGTCAGGTACTACTCCCACCTCCGACGGCGGCATCTGCTCCGATCCAGAGGCGGTCGCGAATAATCAGGCAATACATCGTAGATTAGTGAGAAATGGTTTTTAGATCTGAGGGTTTCATTAGTGTTTACGCTTTGGCTCATGGAGTGGATGGTGTGGCAGGGCTTTGTTGGGACGAAATCGAGCTCGGCGCCGGCATCGGGCGGGAGGAACGACGAGATAGGCGGGGCTCCGCTGTCCACGATGGCGGTTTTGGCACGGACGGGGACGACGCTGTTCATCTGGTGGAATTGCGTCTCCATCGAAAGGGCGTACTCCAAATCAAGGTAAGAACCCACGCTCGAGTAGTACTCCATCGATTTTAGCAGCGGCGCTTCAATCAAGCCCTTGAACTGAGCGTGGCCGGAGTTCGGGAGGATCCAGGAGGCGGCGGTAGCCTCCTCCGCATCGTTCTCCTCCTTCTCGTCGACGCCGTCGCCAGCCCCTGCGCCAAAGGCGAACGCGGCGGAGGCAGTGGAGGGCTTGATTGGGGCGGCGATGGGTGCTCGCTTGTGGCGGCACGCGAGGGGGTTGGCGGAGTGGATGTCGGCGTCGCAGGCGTCGCAGAGGGCCGCGGCGTCCGCCTTGCAGATTACGGCGGCGGGCGCCTGTTTGCAGGCCTCGCAAATCCACACGTGCTTGTGCCGCGAGGCGAGTTGCTCTGCCCCGTGCACCCTCATGTCGCAGCCACTGCACAGGTAGGCCGCGTCAGGCCGGCAGTCCAAGTGCGCCACCGCCGCCTTGCACGAATTGCACCGCCTCGCCGCCTACCGCGCCCAATACCCTCCCTTCCCCTCCGCTTCCCTGACCATCGCGGCCTTCTACGGTCGAGTTATCTCGGTTCGTTTGGATTCGTGGTTTAGTTGATTTAAGAAGCGAAGACAAACGAAACGCCCGCGGGTTCGACGTTCTGGGACGTGACAAAGTGACCGAGGACCACAGTTTTCACCATTTGCAAGGCCGGTATCGTTTTGGGTATAAGTTTAATAGGCATACAAAAATTTGACGGTATATAGGGAGGACGAAAAGGCGACAAGATATTGAGACACGTGTCGTTGACTGAGTAGCGTAAAATGACAAATAAACTTCCACGGTCGAATGACCAATTCGCCACGTTAGGTCACCTGTCTTTGGATGTGTGCCGACAGAGGAGCACGTGGAGGTGAAAGAAGAAGCGGAGTTCCCACGGCGGAACTCCGTAGTCTATTATCTGAATTACTTAATTAATTATTATTAGTATTATGTTTTTTATATTTAAAAAAATACATTAACATTTTTATATTAAAAAATATTTAGTTTTATTTTTTTATCGTTGATTTTACTGGTAAAAATATTATAGTGTTTAGAGTTAAATTAAAATATGATAGAATGTGTTCACTAGTAAAAGACGATCAAAGTTAAATGTTTTATTTTAAAAAAGTATATAGATTTTAATATAAATTTTAAAAATATAAGAATCTGTTAAAGATAATCTTATTATTTTGATAAATAATTATGCATTTATGTTTCTTATGATTCAGAGGTTCGAGTTGGTGACTTAATTAGCCATTCATTATATGTTATAATACTTAATTTGATTTTGTTTAAATCGTCAAGCGGATCGTTAAATAACTTAGTTGAGTCCCGTAAAATTTGTGGTGCTGCTGTTTCTCGAATCTGCAAATTGAAGCATTTGAGTTTGATCAGGTTTGGGTTCACACTGGTGACATGGACCGTTTGCGGAAGTCAGGACGGAAGGTCGCACGGTGGAGGGCAAAATTGACCGTTGGCGTCCTGGTATGACGACAAGGCTGACGCCACCTATACAGCGTGATCCGCAACAAAGTCATCGATAAGCCACTGTTCTCTGGGACCCAAAGCGGGAACTTGGAACGTCCGTCTGACCTCGTGCGGACACGTGGAGGTGGAAACTGTGCGATGGAACCGGGATGGTGCGGTGAAGGCGGCAGCAGATCTTCGAGTACGGTGCTACACGCAGTGCGTCCGCGCCTTCATTGGTGGTAGCACGATAACGATGAGGGCACAGTGGCGTGTCTCGTTGGGCAATTCATGATCGCCCAAACATTACAATTCTTTTTCTTTATTTCGTCTACATCATCTTCCCCACCCATCGCTACGACAGCTCGGTCGCAAGATTTTCTAGAGAACCGTGATCTGGGCCACCACTGTCGTCTGATTCCTGCTGCCCAAAAGCAGCAGTTTGAATAGCGTCTGATTCAAACTGCTATTCCACTCCCTCGCCGAACTTTTATATCTGCTCCGATCTTGAAGCATACATGTATACTATCTTTTGGACTTGGAACTAGTACGTGCTCGTGTACAAGTCATCCTATATTATCGGTTAAATATTACCATGAGATCTGATGAACTGCCACGTTCAGTATTAATCTGATGTTGGGATAACCTTAATTTCTAAATCGAGGAGTTCCCTTGTTTATATATATTGTACGGAGAAAGATGTTCATGGATGCTGGTGGGGTCGCATAAAAAAGTCGAGTCAGAGTAGCGTTTGGCCGCATCACTGCGGATCCAATAAATGCCGAAAGGTCGGGGCTTTTCCTGATCCTACATCGAGATGACAACGACATCTGGTGCTATTCTTTACATTGGTTTGCTTAACATTGGCTTACCTTTTAATCAAATTGCTGATGGATTTAAACGAAAAATAGACGTATAAATAATATTTAAGTTTCTAAAAAACTAGTTGGATTTTAGTATGATGAATTTCACTAGGATTTTATTTTTATTATTATATACGAAGATGGTAGCATTATCCGATCAGTTTAATTGGATTTTGTTGCAGGTTTGAGATATACTCGAGTCTGGTTTGAATTGAGTTTGAATTGGGTCCTGTGTGGCGGTGGAGTTTGCGTAGAGGGAACGGAACGCCTTTCATAGCAGTTCTTATATATCATGTAGAAATGTATGTTTTCATACACTTACATGTAGAAGTGTATGTTTTCATAGCACTTCTTATAGATAAGAAGTATTGAATCGATTTGCTTTAGTGGGTTGCACTTCTTTTTCCTTTTTATTCTTTTACTGATACGGTCGGGTGCTTGACAGTAAAGTCTAATCCAAGCAAGCTTGAAGTCTTGCCATTCTTGTTCCCAAAGGCCCGGCAACTTCAAGAGTTTTACTTGAAAGCAACGTCAGAGCACAGGCTATATGAACATCTGCCCGTCCCCTCATCTTTCCAGCCAAAACAAACCATCTCAATGGCCTCCTCCACCATGAACCTCGCCTTTCTCCTCCTCTCCATGTTCCTCGTGACATGCACTGCCCTCCCCGGAGGCTTCTCCATCGTCGGATACTCTGAGGAGGACCTCACCTCCCATGACAAGCTAATCGAGCTGTTCGACTCCTGGATGTCGAGGCACAGCAAGTCGTACGCCAACTTCGAGGAGAAGCTGAGGAGGTTCGAGGTGTTCAAGGATAACCTGAAGCACATCGACGAGACCAACAGGCAGAAGAGGAGCTACTGGCTCGGGCTCAATGCGTTTGCCGACATGACCCACGATGAATTCAAGGCGACGTATCTTGGAGTCAGCACCAGCATGCCGAGAAGGAGAGACTCCGGTTCCAGCTTTAGGTATGAGAATGCCGTGGACTTGCCCAAGTCGGTGGATTGGAGGAAGAAGGGTGCGGTAACCCATGTGAAGAACCAAGGTCACTGCGGTAAGTACCTGACTCTAATCTGTTGTAGTAAGACTTGAAGAGATGACGATCCGAAAGGCATATGGCATCGTTTGCAGGCAGCTGCTGGGCGTTCTCGACGGTGGCAGCGGTGGAGGGCATAAACCAGATAGTGACGGGGAACCTGACATCGCTGTCCGAGCAGGAGTTGATCGATTGCGACAGCGAGAACAATGGCTGCCATGGTGGACTGATGGACTACGCTTTCTCCTACATAGCCTCCACCGGCGGACTGCACACCGAGGACGACTACCCTTATCTGATGGAGGAAGGCACCTGCGAGCGGACGAGGGTACGATGAACTTAACCTTCTCGTGTATGATGCTGCTATCCGACGATAACTATTCGTATTGGCTTCAGGCCGATCTTGAGGTGGTCACGATCAGCGGCTACGAGGACGTGCCAGAGAACAGCGAAGAGAGCCTGTTGAAGGCACTGGCGCACCAGCCTGTGAGCGTCGCCATCGAAGCTTCTGGTCGAGACTTCCAGTTCTACAGTGGGGTGAGTTCTTCTCCTCGATCGATCTGTTCAAGCAGTTCATGGAAGAGGTCGTAGTGAAGAGGCGACGGGTTGAATTTGCAGGGAGTGTTCGATGGATCCTGTGGCAGCGAACTCGATCATGGGGTGACAGCGGTGGGCTATGGCTCATCCAAGGGCCAAGATTACTTCACCGTGAAGAACTCATGGGGCCAAAGGTGGGGGGAGAGAGGGTATATACGGATGAAGAGGAACACAGGGAAACCACAAGGGCTCTGTGGAATCAACAAAATGGCTTCTTATCCTACTAAACATGCCTGAGGCATTTGCATCTTATTTGTTTTTACTTGCTTCTTCACAATGGAGCGTCATAACAAAGACTACCGTTCTTTGCTTGTTGGAGATCTCCTTCTGCGCAACTTCCTTTGTTCTGTGACACAGACATGACTTGGAAAGACGAAACCTTTGATGACTACATCATTGGAGGAATGGTGTGTCATTCAAGGTTGGTCTCTATAGTTGAGGGAGGAGTGTAATGTGATTTATAGGGGGGTTTTCTCCCTTAAATAAAAAAATATAAATAATCAAAAAAAAAAAAAGCCATTTAATTTATGTGATAGGAATTTGAGCATTTGACATACTTGTATTTTTTTTTTGTGTCATGTTAATTGGTATTAAGGGTAAATAGGTTGGACTACTAATCCGAAAACATTATGTGTGTGTATGTATGTATATATATAAAATCCTTATGGATTTTTGTATTTTTATACTTAATTCAACACAATGTCATGTGAGTGTTATGTAGCAGTACTCGAATCTCTTATAATACTAATCTTACTCAAAATCATCTATCCGAAATACTTAAAATCAAATTAAAAATATATATTCATCATTTTGTTTATAAATCAATCCAAATATTTGTTCGCTTTACTATTGCAATACCCCATCTCAAACATGTGTCAGTCGATTAAATAGTCTTCATGTGAACGTCATCGTCGGATATGAATGCTGTACTTTCATGTGGTGTCATAGGGAACAGCTGACATTACCCTAATATTAATTATACGCATCTATTGCGACATGGTTAAGTTGTGTTGCATATGGTCCTTTTTGCAGTACATCTCACGCTTCAGAAGACAATTAACTTTTGGGCTTTAGTCAACTTGCAACATATTTTACTTTCCACTCCTTAGATTTTGGAATAGATTCCAGCTTTAGAAGAGGAGACCGAGTGATTCTAAACTGTAGCACGAATGCTTATGCTTCTGAGCTAATTTTTAGAGTCCATTGAAACAAGATTAGTGCATACCAAAGTACTTATGGAATGATGAGCTAATCAAAGACTCACTCTCGCTCATGTTTAGATCAAACTGAGATGTCTGTTTCACAAGTTGGAGGTGCTGAATTCGTCCAAGGATAAGCATGGCAAATTAACATGAGACATTGTAAGGTGGCAAATGCAATCTTGTCTGGCTTTCTGAATCCACCTGCGTCCTGAAGTCTTCCTGCCATTAATTCTCTCTCAGATCATCGTGTCATATGACAACCTTGTAAGACTTCACCCAAGGCTCGATGAGGACTTCACTTTGCACTGATCACGTACTGGATTTTGTTTGCATTCGCTTGTCTTCGAAGCATGGATAAAGTCAAATGAGTTGCCTCGCATTGTCATTTTCCGGATGTAGTAGAACATGATTAGATATCATTTATTAGATTCTGAGAAGCGACGAGGCAAGTTTAGTCGCAAGGAGAAGCGAGGGATTCAAAGGTGACAACAATGAAGTAGCTGTAAAGCACACAACATTTCTTTCTCTGTCGTACCGAGTGACATTTTCCCACTCAACAGATGATGAGAGGGTAGTAATTGACCTGTAAACTACATCTACATTTTTGAGGGACTTGATAACAGGTTTTGGATCTCCCTTGAAGGAAAAAAGTTAGATTTTCTGGACTAAGTAATTAAATTATGCCAAATTATTGATGTCTATTCTTCTGTTCATGACTGCAGAAGTTTTGATCTCTAATGCGATAGTGTGTTATAGGTTGTGTTGCATTAGTTTTTTTGACAAGGTATGAAGACACTTTACTTTATATGGGGTTTTCTCTTCATTACTATGGCAATGACATTCTATAATGACAGACAGAGCTAATTGGCTTCCTTAATATTTGGACATTAGTTTCTAATCATATATATATATACATAATATTTGTTTGGCAATAATTAATCTACTCTTCATATCGGCATATTAGACATCAAAAGCCTGAACCATAGTTTATGTTATCTACTCATTCGAATTCATTTGGCCACTGACATAAGGAATGCTTTGAAGTGATTGTTTTTAGGGTGTTCAGCCTTTTACTACTATAAAACACTAAGATGATAGCTTAATTAATGCATCTCCCTTCTTCTAAACCAGTATTTAGATTTTAAGGCACTTGGAATGTGATTCTGAAGTAGTTGAAAGAAAAACATGTTCTTTAACATCTAAGAAATGAATGAATGGAGCAATGAATCTTTGAGAATGAAAGACCAACATGAGAAACTTAGGATGGGAATTAAAGCAAAAGGTTGCTATCATCTAATCACAGAGCATAATTCACTTTTTATCTTAGCATGTTGTTATGAGATCATTTATGAAAACATACATCTCTTTCGCAAATATATGCTCTCATGTGAATGCATTGAAAGTTGTCGATGCTACTAGTCATCATGCTCTACTTGAAGAGGACAGACAAATATAGGGAGATTACAATTCTTTGTTGTGTGTGTGGACTTGCTTTTTGTAAGATCTTATAATTTGCATCGAGGTTGCAATCTGTGTATTATTTATTCACCTATGTGCATCTTGGAAGATATAGTTTGCCTCAAAGATTGCAAGCTTTCTTAGTGCATCAATGAACACATCAACCCACTGAGAAAAAGGAACAAGTGTTGGTACCAAATATAGGGTTTTCTATTTCTACACAGTTTAGCTCACAACCACAGCAGAATGAGTCGCTCAATCATATCTCCTATGTCATGAATAGGAGAGAGCGAGAGCGAGCGAGAGAGAGAGAGAGAGAGAGAGAGAAGTCATTGTTGACCATTAATTCAATTACTAATTTGGAGAGAAGAAAATAAAATATACTAACAATTAAAATGCATGGATGGGTCTCATAGTCTCAGAGATAAGTCGATGTCACCGGCGATCCCTGCTTTGTCGTCGGCACCACCGCCGCGTCCTTTGCCGTCGGCGCCTCCGCGTGTCCACGGCGTCAAGGTGACCGCCTCCTCCTTCCTCACAAACCGGCCATCCAAGCTGGTGGAGGCCACCACGGTCTGGATCTGGCCGACAGCGTGAGACCGCATGGCCAAGCTCACCTCCCGGTTCCTCTTCGCCAGGCTCCGCTCCAGCTTATGCGCGTTCTGGTGGCCGCCCAACGCCTGCGAGCTGTGGAACTTCCTCTGGCAGTAGGTGCACCGGAAGACACGCTCCGGCTGCGGCATCGACGACGGCTCCAGCCCCAGTTCCAGGTTCACATCGTCATCGTCCTTCTCCAGCTCAAACTCCATTGCAGGCGGACACAGAAAGAGATCGAGAGAGAGAGAGAGAGAGAGAGAGAGAGAGAGAGAGAGAGAGAGAGAGAGAGAGATGAAGTGGGGGCAGGATATAAAGGTGGGGAGCGTTGCAAGCGATGTATGGGAACAGAAGAGAAAGGGATAGGGGGAAGGGGAAGGGGGGTGGGTGTTGAAGGAGATGGAAGACTTGTCGCCTGGATTTATGGTAGGGTTTGAGCGGCACAAAGGGTGCCCTCAGGTCTTTGGATACATGGGAAGAAATGGAGATAGTTTGCTGCTGCTTGGTATCATCAATGGCCGTAAAACTCCCAAGATGGGGACGGTCTCTTCAATCTAAGCCATGCATGGCTAATATCCAGGATAAGATGCACGCCGCTTCGGTTTCTTGTGCTTTCTTCTCCTTCTTTAGGGCTTTAAATACCCACAAGGATTCTTGACAACATGCACAGTGGCTTCACTTCATTAATTCTCACTAGTGTTTTCCCTTATTCTACTAAGTGCTTGTTTTCTTTGAGAGAGAAGAATAGCCTTTTATATTACTTTTTTTTTTATTCTTGATATATCTTAAATTTCTAATATGAAAATATTAAATCGAACTTTATGATCAAACATAATTTTGACTTGAGATTGTTAGTCAAGATAATAATACTATCATCGAACCAAAGTCTTAAGTTTACCTCTCCATAAATAAAAGACTCTTGTAATCTATTATAGTCTTTTATTATCATGAGTTTTTTGTTTTGTTTTGAAGTATTCGTAAAGACACATATGGATTAACTTTCTTATATCCTCAATCAATCTATCTATGATTTGAAGATCAATCATATATTTAAGTAGATTGCATGATTTGAATGCATAATTAAGAGAAATTTTTCCCTCAAAATTTGTATAAATAACTTATCTCCTCAATAAATAAAGATCATCTCTTTCACAACATATTCCTTAATTCTATACATTTATTATTATGTCTCTATAAATTCCCATTGCTTACTATCTTTGGAGAGATTTCTAACCCTACCATAATTATAATTACTTTTGCTACGCTTACAACAATCGTCGTTATCAACAATCAATCACATGAATATTATGATACAACAATCTACCATCGCCAACGTTATTTTCATATATCAACAGTTGCCATATCAAACTCATCTACATTCTTTAGTGTCTGCTTCTGCTGTGTTGTGCCAATTATCACCCTTTGCCGATCACATCATTATCACTCTCCTGCCGCCTCCATCATCCCGTCATCGTCAAAGGGTTTATGGAGGCAACTTTGGAAATGCTCAGTTCCATCCTCGACTGTAGAAATGGGTGTACAGTGGTGCATCACAAAATTGTTTAACTAAATACATTTATATTTGTTTGTATTCCACACACAGTTTAGTATATGACATCATTATTATGCTAAGTTTATAGCTGTATTCCTCCCCCTAATTACTTACCAAAACCCTTCATAATATTATACTATACATACATCATCTACTTCATGGTTCTCTTGTATCAGAATCACGCATAACTCAAAATTAATATTCCAAGACATTGATGCTCATGTCGCATATAATAAAATGAGATGATGAGATGGGTTTGGATCTAAAATGTCTCCTACCTGAAGTACTTATCAATGGCGACAGCATCACTCCGGTCCACGACTCCCATGAATCACATGGCATAAACTATGAAATATCAGGAGGAAAAACAAGGAGAGTAGCACTATACATTCACAAACGTCTTTCCACAAACAAATCTGACTCATGAAGCCTTGTAGGCGTCAAACACTCAAAAGTCATTTGTTATTATTATTATTATTATTATTATTATTATTTTATGATTGATGTGATTTGGGAAACCTCATCCTCCAAGGCCCCAAGGCTTTCCGGCCTTTGTTATATGTCTACATATGTGTGTTCATTGTTTAAGATGATTGAGGTAGCAGATGGAAAATGGAGGCTCCAAGTCGCCGAGTGCGTCGGGGAGAGGGGAGAAGTCGCCCATCTACTACATGCACGTGATCTAATTCAAACTTGTCGTAGATC